GAGAGAGAGAGAGAGAGAGAGAGAGAGAGAGAGAGAGAGAGAGAGAGGAGGTAGATATCTGGGATAGATGACTTTATTGTCCTAGCCTTTGCCTTCTCCTTTGGACCTTGAACTGGAGTTAGAAAAGAAACTGAAAATGGGATGGAGGCCGTTGGCCTGAAGTCACTTTTGAGTCTGAGGACTCTTTTACTGAGTGGGAATAAGGGTGCTCAATTCTAGATGACTCACCAACATCAGAAAAGCTCTTATGGAACTCTTATTTACATAGCAAAAAACATTATGGCTCCACAGAATGTAATAGTAGAGATTGATCTAGAGCTTAAAAAAAATCTTATATACAAAAAATAGTTCACTTTGGATTTGATTCTTTATGTCAAGAATCCATTGGGGGGAAGTTAGATGTCTTTTTGATTAGGAATAGCTTTAAAAAAAAGACTGCATCTTTGTTAGAAGATATCACAAAAACCAAGTTATTTTTGTATCCTTTCAGAATTTAAGGAGATGAAAATTACAAACCAGAGAGAAATACATAGTTATGTATGAGTGAAGGATGCCATCTTTGAGGAAAGTTGTACACCAAAGAATTCAGGTTGGAAACAAAACCTTATAAATGAGTCATTATGCATGACTAAATCTTTCCTCACTCTTTGATGCACAAAATGTTATGCTTTAGTACTCAAGTTGTGTGTGAGTCCATTTTTTCTGAATAATTTCTGAAAATAACTATTTTCCTTCTCTTTCACTTAAGGAAGTGTTTGGTTTAAAAATAGAATTTCAAGGAAAATTATGACTCCTAAATGTGTGTAACACATGTAATATAAATAGGAAGATTGAAAATAAGGATGTTTGCTCATTAACTTGGATTTCATTTCTCCATTTGGCTCACTTCTCAGCTTCCAAATCTCATTACAAGATATGGAGCAGGAAGAGACCATTGAGATCACAGAATCATAGGTTTAGAATTGGAAATGACCTAGAGATCACCCAGTTTGACCACCTCATTTTAACGTTGAGCAAAGGTTCAAAAAAGTTAAGTGACTCGTTCAAGGTAACGCAACTTGTAAACTAAACACGGGTTCTCGGCTTCCCAACCTGGCACTTTCAATCCCGTCTTTTCGTAGACGAAGAAACTGAGGTCCTACGGGTAAAATGACTCACTCACTCGTGGTTATATAGTGATTAAGTGGCAGAATCGAAACTAGCTTTCTTGGATTCTATTTCAGTAGTCCTTCCACTACACTCCGCTGCCTCCAAACACGCACTGGACCTATTGGACCTATGACCTTGGTTTTGTTAGCAGTGATTCGACTAGCCCCGGACTCTCATTATCCCTCATTAAATAGCCCCGTAGGTCTTCAACCGGAAAGACCAACCAGGGATGGAGCAATTCTCCACACCCCTTCTCAGTCTTTGAGCGTGTAAGGGGCGGAGGCGAGAATGGTTATGGGGAAGGGAAGCTGGGGTGCAACGTAACTGGGAATCTAAACAAATACGAACAGGTAAATGACGCCGAGTTTTAGGAGCCGCTGCAAACTCCGCGGCAGGTGCGGAAACCAATTGGGGTCTGCGTGGCCAAGGTGAGGACCCGGCGAGAGCCCGGCGGAGTGGGAGGGGCTCGGGGGCGGGGGCGGGGACGCAGTCGGTGAACTGGTTTGCTGCGCAGGAAGGGGCGGGGGCGGGGTCTGAGACGGGTCCGACTGAATGAGCCCAAGAGGGAAATAGATGGAATGAAGGGGCGGAGCCTGGGGCCGGAGGCTGGGAAGGCCGCTCCCCCCGCGGCCCTCGCCCCCTCTGCCCCCGCCCCCCGGACGGCGGGAGCAGCCGAGCCGCAGCGCTGGGGCTGGGGAGCAGGGACGCCCGCCGGCCACGACCCGGACTGGACGGACAGGGGCTCCGGCTGCGGGCGGCTCGGGGGCGGCGGCGGCGGCGGCGGCGGGAGCCGCGGGAGGACGACCGGCGGGAACATGGCGCTCGTGGGCAATGGAGCTGAGCACGAAGCGGACGAGGTACGGGCTGGCGAGGGGTACGCATCGGGGCGGGAAGACCCGGGAGGCGACCGGCGCGGTCCCCCCGCCGCGCTCCCTGGCCAACGTCGGCGGCCGGGGCCGCGGGAGCCGAGTTTCCCGGGCCGGAGAGGTGGACGGGGACGCGGCAGCGCGGGGCTGGGGGTGCCGGGACCCCGGAGCGCCCCGTGGAGGCCGGGGCCACGAGCTGGGGAGTCGGCCCCGGGGTTGTTGAGGCCTCGGGAGAGGGTGGCACCCTCCTGGAGGGCCCTGGAGGTGACCGGGCAGGTGGCCCTGAGGTCGGGTGAGGGCACTGGCGGGGCGGAGCGGCAAGTTGTGTAAGAACCTGGGGAGAAGCTGAAGTGCGAAGAGACACCGGAGGAGGAGAGGGGGAAGAGGA